AGAAACGCACGGCCTCAGGCAGCAGGTCTCCAAGTAGGCGCCAGTCCCCGGAGCCGTGCTTCTTTTCGTACTCCAGATACTTGAAGCCGGAGGAGAGACCCCGGCCGAAGTCCTTCATACAGTCCTGGTACATCTGCTTGGCCACACCAGATGCGCTGGAGTACACGTTGCCTGAGCCCGTGGGGTACTCGATGAACAGCTTCAACTCGTAGTCCATGCCCGGCTTGGAGACAGCATCGAAGGCAAAGACGCGGCCCAGCAGAGAGTGGTCCTTCTTGAAACGCACCTCGTAGGGCGTACAGCCAGCCAGCGTGAGCAGCGTGTCGCGGACCATCTTCGGCTTGTTGGCCCACTCCTCCGCGCGGTTGCGCAGGCTCTCGCTCAGCTCAGCCAGGGCCTCGGCGTTCCGCTGCTTCTCCTTCAGCTCGCGCTCCTGGTCTGTACTCGATACCGAGCCGGGCCTTTTGCCGCCAGCACCTACACCCACCTCGGCCACTGACGACGAGGTGGAAGACGACGCTGAGGACGACGCGGCTGATACGCCTGGGGCGCCCCCCAGACAAGCGGGGCCCCCGGGCGCCCCTGGGGGCGCGGGCGTCGGGGGCCCACGGCTGCCCAGGCCGTGCGGCGGCGGTGGGGGCAGCACGGCGGCACTGGCCGGGCCGTTAAGCAGCGTCTGCGGCAGCAGGTTGGGGGGCACCGTGAGCTGGGGGCCTCCACCGCCCCCCGGGTTGGGCAGCCCGGTCACTAGCCCACCGTGCGTCCCGCGCCGAGACGCCACCGACGCCGCAGCTGAAGAGGAGTTGGGGCTCTGGCGGTTCAGCTCTGGGGGTCCCTCCTCCGGTGTTGGCTTGGGGAAACCATTTGGGCCCCCCAGGCCGTTGGGCAGCCGCGCGGCGTGGCTGCTGCTTCCCAGGCTCACCGGCGGTGGAGGATACTCGAAGCGGCTGCGCTGCTCCACCGCGGCGGCGGCGGCGGCGGCAGCGGCGGCGGCGGCGCTCAGGCCATAGCGCTCCAGGCCGGACGGGGCCGCCAGCACCGCAGGCTTGCTGGAACCATCGACGTGGTTGAGCTGTTGTTGCTGCTGCTGCTGCTGCTGTTGTTGCTGCTGCTGTTGCTGCTGCTGCTGCTGCTGCTGTGCGGCGGCAGCTGCCGCCGCTGCCGCAGCCGCCGCCTCTTTAGCCGACAGGGCCACCGTCTTGACCCCGACGGGCGGCGGCGGCCCGGGGGAGCGGCCGTCCTGAAAGCAGCCGTGCGCCCGCTTCAGCTGGCGCGCGGTCTCGATCACGAACTCGATGCGATCGGCGCCCTCGTAGTTGACGCAACCGCGGCATACGGGTTCCGAGAAGTCCCAGATCATGGCCCAGGGCATGCGGGGCAGGTCGCACAGGTAGCAAGATTGTCTCCGGGACGAGGACACCTGCGCCGCCGACATGATGCCCGCCCTGGGGAAGGTAGGCCCCCGCCCAGGCTGTCTCCGCGGCGCCTTCTCCTCCGGGAGGACTGGCCGGCTGGGGAGGGAGTCCGGCTGCGGGGGAGGAAGGGGGGGCGAGAAAGTTCTGCCCCAGGGGTTGGAGGGAGCGCGAGTCTCCACCGCCGGCGCAGCGCCTCTCCGCGGGGGCTCCACCGCCGGGGCGGCGGACGAGTTCAGCCCGCTCCTCGCCCCCACCTCCTACTGCGGCTGTCTCGTCGGGAGGGGAGCTCAGGCGCCTTCTTCCTGGTGCCGCGCACCCGGGCTGGAAGCGTCGGGCCCGAGGGGAGGGGGCGAGGGTGCCGAGTGCTGGCCGCCGTTGGCTCTTGGCCCCCTCCCCGGAGTGGCTGGTGCTTGGAAGCTCGAAAGGGGCTGTCTCTTCCTCTCCCCTAGGGGCCCCGCTACGAGCTGCGTCCTTTCCCCGCCAGGCTCCCCGGGGCGAAGGCTAGAGGGTTCAGTGCCACCCGGTGCCCGGGTCCAATCTTGCTGAAGTCGCTGCTTCCCCGGAGGGCCGGGGGAGGGAGGGGGTGGCAGCCGAGAGGTGCTTCTCCCCTCCGCAGCGTCGGCCGTTCCGCTGGCGGCGGCTGGGTTTGCACGGCCGAAGGGAGCCGCCGCGGCCACTGCTTCCAGAACGCACGAGAGCAGAGGAGAGGAGCGCACGCAAGCAGGCTCCCGCCGCCCCCAGGCCTGGCCGGCGCCCGGGCCGCCGCGGCTGGCGGCGCTCACGTTGGCTGCAGGGCGCTCGCGCGGCGCCTCGGCCCGGGTCGCATCCCTTCCCGCTCGCACTCGCCCGGAATGTGGGGTTGTGATTGTTACTCTACGTTCCGGAGGCGCGTCTCGGCGCTCCCGCTCGCGCTGCGGCTCGCGCTGTCCCCGGCTTGGCCGCGCGGGATGCCGCCCGGGCGGAGCGCTGACGTCACCACCATGCTCTGCACCAGTTCTCCCCCCCCCCCCCCTTACACTTCCTCTGTCTGTGGAGCCCACTTGTTGCTCGGGGAAGGCGCATGCGCGGCAGGACTCCCAGATTCCTCCCAGTCGGCCCCGCCTCCGCGCCTCCGCCTTCCCCTCCCCCCTCACCGTGTGTGTACAACAGCTGAGGCCGGGCGAGCTAATGCTGGAAGTCCAGGGCTGGGGGTGGAAATTAAACAGACGATGACCTTTCCTTTCCCCGCCCGGCTTTCCCAAGTAAAAACGCGTTAAAAAACCACAAGCGTCATTTCCGATCCCGCTCCCTACCCCACCCCGGGCAGTGAATTTAAATGTCCAGTTTCAAGATTTTCGTTGCGAATTTCGTTTAGGGTACTATCCATTTCATCTGTAATCAAACCTCTCCCACCCCCGCCGGTATGGATGTTACATTCATTGCTACCATTGATGCCAAAGCACCTGCAAAATTAGCTGTTTTCCATTGGTCCAGAAACTGCCTTTTCGATTTCTTTTTGTGCACTCGTTTAGGAGCCCGAGTTTCAACGACAGAGCTAAATGAATTCAGGGTGAGCTACTCCTCCCCCCCAGTCGCACTCTAAAAATTTTGGCTTAATGTCTAAAGACGCTACGAGCGAGCACCCAGAGCACCCGGAGGCCTTTAAGGAAAACAAGCTACTGGCTGCTCACAGCTGCAGTTGGGGGCAGGGAGGGGGAAGGTGCTGCAGAGGCCAAACAGGTGAGTGCTTTTTCCCGGTTTGATAAAAGAAGGTGGAGCAGCATTTAATAATATTGCTATCTCTTTGTAAAGCACAGTGGCAGTTTCAAGATTTCTTTCTCACATGTTGTGATTTCATTCCGTAGTGCTCAGAAAGCTGAGCAAGGCCGTGATGTCTTTTCCGTTAGGGGATCACTGCTCATCATTATTGCTTATTGCAAAACAGATAAGGTTGGTCGTAGCTCTAGTTAGGACAGTTCCACTGATTCTTCTAAGTACTGGGTCTGCTCCTCCCACCCTCATCCCACCCTCATGAAAACTGAGATTATCATGGGCTAGGCTGGAGGAGAGGAAGCAATATAAGGGGCTTTCAGGTTCTGGAGTTTGTTGAACCTGGTTGGAATTTCCTCTGTATCATTTACTAGCTTTGTGACCTTGAGCTAGTTACTTTCTTTCACATCACCTGTTTTCCCTCTGTAAAATGGGATCATAGCCCCCACCTTCCGAGAATTATTTGCGATTTTGTTTTGTTTTTTGTCATAATAGGAGGTAACTCACTGAGATTGCTGTGAGCCAGACACTGCCAGGTGGTTTTCCTGCGTCATCATTAAACTCTCAATACTGTCTCCCAGGTAGATTCTATCATTAGCTGTTTTGCAGGCTCAGAAAGTAAAGAGGTTAAATGACTTGCCCAAGGTCACACGGCCATTAGAGATGGAGGTGGGATCTGCATCCAGTAATTCTGGTTTGCGAGGTAGTTGTGACAAGCTCAGGTTCTCAAAGGCGATTTGCAGTGTTCACAATTTCCATCGGCCCTTCTTTGTTACATACAATCTCATGTAAAGTGTATGCAAAATACACCTTCATAACCAACCCCCATCCTTCCCTTTCCAAACAGGTTGTGCCAGTGAGTTCTCACACATAAAGAAGTTTTAGATCTGCCACTGCCACAGACTGAAACAAACACACCATACGCTGTGTAGAGCACAGTGTCAGGCTTCACAGGAAGTAAGTGTTGGTTATTAGTAGTATTGATATTAATGTTGGTACTATTGTTACTTAACATGTGAAAGTACTTTGTAAATTGCATAAAATGTGAGGGTCATTATGCACATCACTACTGTTACTACTAATTGTAATAAAGTTGAGTGTAAGAAACAAGATGTATTTATTTTTATTTTGACACTTGACCTTCAGAGACTGTTCTGCCACCCAGCACTCCTCAGCACATGGTTCTCCCCGCTCATTCTGAGGTCAGAGGTGCAAAGGAAGGGGAATTTTAAGGATGGGGAGAAAAGGGGAAGGAAGAGCCCTAGGGAACCCCTCTTTCATCTCAGAGCAGCCGGATTTCTGTTATTGCAAAAAGAAAAAAAAAGAAAAAAGGGAGCTCGCTGTGCACCCCCCAACAATAATAAACTTTCCCAGGCTGACTGGCTCCCAGCAGTGATTCCTCTGTAAAGAGCTGCTCCAGGGCATTGCCTCACCCATCCAAACTTCAGCCCTCCCCACACCACAGCTATCCTGGAGTGAGTCAAAACATAGGGCTGGGAAATGGAGTGACATCCCCACCAGCCCAGGGCTCCAGGCTCATTAGCTTTGGCTAGGCTGCTTCACCCATTTCTTTACATTAATATTTATCCAGCCCATCCCTTTATTAAACCAAAAATACTGAGGAACGGCAACCTAGCCCCAACCCTCTAGCCAGGCTGCTAGAGAAAGCAAGTTGGAGTCTATGTCACAGTGTTATGTTTGGTATGCGTGCACATATGTCTCCATCTCCCTGTCTGTCTCTGTCTTCGCTGTTACTAAAGGAGAGATATATATACACATACATGCCGGGTGTCTTCAGACACACTGAGTTAGAAATAAACATGCATTTAAACAAACTTCCATTACAGTCTCATAATCCTTTAATTTAAAAAGCATAGTTCTCTTGACACCCTTCCACCCTTAAAGAATCACCGTCATTTATGGTGGTCAGTTTTGTCCTAACTGCTTGTCTGAGATGGCCCTATTTGGGGATGTGTCCAGGATTGTGAGAAGCAAGAACATCAATGTTTTGGAGGCAGATTCTCCCTGGAAGGCGAAGCCCCTGTGACAGTGCTGTGTCCACAGTGTGGGTGGGAAGGATGGGGTTGGTCTGGGGCTCGACCTAAGACAGCAGGTGGAGAGACTGGAGGTGGAGTCTGGGAGACCAGCAAAGCCAGGTTCAACCAGGCTCAAGGAGGAAACGCCTGCAGTCCTCCCTGAATTTACTTCCTATGGTTGTCGCTCCTCCAGCGTGCCATCTGAGCTGACACCCTCAGAGAACTGTCCCCCTCTAAACTGGTCAACTCTCCACTTGGCCTTGCCAGAGACCACCGCCCAACCTTAAGGGTGAGAAGGTCGCAGCGTGTCCACACATTTCTGAGCTCCCTGCAGTCTCCCTTCTGTCCCCGAGCCGTTTCGAGCCCTTTGTGGCAGAGATGGGTCGGGCTGGGGACTCTTCGGCCTGGCATCCCTGCCGCCAACTGGCTCAGCCTTCGAAGAGGCCCGGGCTGAACCTCGCGTCACCCCGCTGCACAGCCGTACGCAGCCAAGCGCTCTGGCAGGAGAAAGGCCTTTTTTGGTAACGCTGTGCCTGGCAGTAAGCTGGACCCGGTGAAAACAAACTTCTGGGTTGGGCCTTGCTCCGGCCTCTCCAAGGGACCCCTTCCCCAGGAGCCAGGAACCTCGGGGCTCTGGGGGAGGGAGAACCAGTAGCGGAGTAATTTACACATTTTCTCGGGTTCTGTGGCGGAAGTATTTGCCTTTTCCTAAAGTATTAATTCTGGTATTTAAAAAAAGTATTAACTTAGGCCAGGGCGTAGGGTTACGCAAGAGCCACTCGAGCGTGAAAGCCCAGGAACAACGTGATTCGCTGAGAATCCCTGGGGAGGGGAGCCAGCGCCACCGGCCAGGACCTGCCCAGCCTGCGGCGCGCGGGCAGCCGGGCGCTCTGGGCAAAGCTGGGTGGAAGAAAAGGAGGACGACGTAGTGGTTGGTGCTGGTACAGCGGCCTCAGCGAGCGATCAGATCTCTGACTGCTTTCTTCCTGAAGGGGCGGGGAGCAGGGAAGGAAAGAAAGGCCGAGGGAGTCGCGTCTGGTTCCTGCCTCCTCCCCGTTTCCTCTTCGCCAGCGTGCCAGGGCACCGGGGAGCCCAGCGCTGCCCTCAGCAAAAGCTGCTGTGTGTTTTTAGGTCCAAAAATAAGGGAGCCCTGGAATGAGCCTCCTAAGGACCAGGCCTAGAGGGAAAAAATGGGAAGCGGCAGACAAGGGTTCTATTCACTGGCCCAGTTGGGTTAAAACAAATACCCACACCCCAAGAAGGGGAGTAACCGAGAAGGAGACCTTGGAGGACTAGAGTCAGAGGAGAGCTTGGCAGGGGAGCAACTAAGGCCACAGGTGCGCAGAACCCCGGACCCTCCATCCTACCGGCTTCCGCATGGGCCTCAGCAGGGAGCAGGGGTGCCAGTGGGTTCCCACCAGTCCGCACCAGTGCTGGGGATTTCCACTGCCTAGCTTCGGAGACCGGTCGCCGCCGCTGCCCGCTTTCCTGCTGGGGGCCGCCAGAAGGCGGGGCCTCAGAGCGGGAAGCCCTCCCTGAGGCCTCCCGGTCCCACCGTCAAGTCGGTCAAGTCTGGTACAGATGGGCCATCATCATCACTGCTGTCACTGGTTGGGGTGGATGGCTATGATCTGCAAATATTTTGGCTTGCCTGAGCTGGGCAGTCAACCCCTAACTCAGGAGGAGGAAAGGAAATATGTACATTGTACATATTTACATTATGTTGTTCGACTTGGACTTGGCTGACCCTAACTAAGTAGCTATCTGACCTTGAGCAAATCACTTGAACTTGGTTTCTTAAGTCTGTAAAATGGGAATAATTTCACTGCCTCCTTTGCCTGACTCATTGGTCTGCATGGAAGATACAAGATTATAATGTACTTAATAAAATGTAAGAGATTATGAATAATATAATGACGGCCATTTGTCTAGGGCCCTGCAGTGCATTCCCAGACATTATCTCACCGATCCCCCACCAGCCCTGTGAGGTAGGTGTTACTTTCATCACTCTCCTGTATAGGTGAGGAAAGCAGGTCCAGAGCTAGTTCAGAATTACTGGAAACCAGGTTCTCTGGCTTTAAACCCAGCATTCCTTATTCTCCCCCACGAGTTGCTAGCTTTTTGGGAGGGAGTGGGGGGAAGTCCCCGGATGCCTCTAAGAAATTCAGAAACTGCAAGAAAGTGAAATGCGTCTCCCCACAAGAGTTTGCAGGTTAAGAATGTCACTACTGTCCCAATAGATGCAGAATTATGCACAAATTAGCACGAGTTATTTTGGAGGTACAGTCACTAGTCAGTCAGCTTTGAGCAAAATGGTGTAACTGCTTCCCTGGCATCCCCTGAGACTTTTTTCTCTCTCTGGGTTTTCTATACCCGGCCTTAGGAGGGAGGGTTTGGAGGAAAATCTGAAGCTCTCGAACACACCGAAGTATTGGGAAACTTACTAAATTACCCTCACCGAGGATAGCTGCATTTTATTTATTTATTTATTTATTTGTTTGTTTGTTTGTTTATTTATTTATTTATTTATTTATGAGAGACAGAGAGAGCATGAACAGGGGAGGGGCAGAGAGAGACAGAGAGGGAGACACAGAATTCAAAGCAGGCTCCAGGCTCCGAGCTGTCAGCACAGAGCACGAAGCAGGACTCCACCTCACAAACCGCGAATCATGACCTGAGCTGAAGTTGGGCGCTTAACTGAGCCACCCAGGCGCCCCTGAGGATAGCCACATTTTAAATGTTCACCCCTGAGGAGGACCCCAGGCTGAATGATGAAGGGGAAGGAGGAAAGCCGAGAGCGTACCTTTTATGGTGGAAGGAACCTCTTTCCAGACCCACAAGCGATATCACATAGGAAACAACCCTTTGTTCTCACAGACCCACAGTCCATATCACATAAGAAACAACCCTTTGTTCTCACCTAATTCAGGTAACACTGACTACACACCCACCCAAACTGTGCAGGCCTGTATTTGGGCTGGAGGCCACTTGGTAAGTACGGCTGCTGTCCTCAGAACACTTCTCGCCCAGGGGAGGTCTATACCCCTGACAACCAAACCTGGCCTAGGCATCACTGGAGATAGGAGGTGAGGGAACAAGGGGTATCCCCAACCCTGATCCATCTAGAGGACCACCATGCTTTAATTTGAATTTCCCTCTCTGGCCAGACCTAGAGGATCCAAGCCTGATATGTCCCTAGTGGGTGTGAAACTATTCTCATCACTTACTTTTGCTTCAAAGCTGAAACTGGGCCACCAGATGGCCTGGTGGGTTTCCATTCCCCAGCTCCTTGACGTGTGCCCTTCCATTTGCCATTCATTCCGTTATTCAACTATTTTTTTTTTTAGAGAGCACTTTCTCTCTCGGTCCTGAGGATCTAATGATGAACCAAGTCAGATTGGCTCCAGCCCCAAATCCAAAAACCTCCATTTCCTCCTAGATGTCCTAGTTTCCTGGTGTTAGAGCATAAAAGTCATCAGAGGCAGTGCTTGTTCAACACTCCCACCAGCCACATGACTGACTTAGAGCAATCTATTTATTCTCTCTGGGCCTCAGTTTCCTCACCCATTGAGTGTGAGTATTGATATTGAAATTTGTTCTCCCTACTTCAGGGGCTTACTGTGAAATCGTGTGTGTGTGTGTGTGTGTGTGTGTGTGTGTGTGTGTGTGTTTGTACACATACATATAGCGCTAGGGGCACTACAGTTGGCTCAATCTGTTAAGCATCCTTCTGACTCTCGGTTTCGGCTCAGGTCACGATCTCACAGATCACGAGTTTGAGTCCCTAGTGGGGCTCTGAGATGCCACTGCAGAGCCTGCTTGGGATTCTCTCTCTCCCTCTCTCTCTCTCTCTCTGCTTCTCCCCATTGGTGCACTTTTTCTCAAAATACATAAATAAACTTTAAGAACATATATTAAAAAACTGCATAGAGCTATAGAAAGGTGAGCCATCGTCTTAAAACTCTTTTCCAGCTCTAAGCCCTTCTCAGTAAAATAGCTGGAAATTGAGGCCTGATGCTAAGGTCTGGCCACACTCTTCATCCTGTTCCTGGAAGATTTCCTTCCGGGGTGGCCAGCCTGGCATCTCTGTTCTTCTGGGCTGGCAGACAAATCAACAGTCACTGCCCCTCGACCTAAGAGCTAAAGTAAGAGGACAGGAGCTCAGCCTGTCTTCTCTCCTCTTTCCTACAGGGACACGGATTTCCCATCCCCAATCCCTGGTGGTGCTGAAGCTTGGAGCAGTTGGATTTATTTGGGGTTTTTACTTTTTTGTTTTGGTCAATTTGGAAAGAAAAGAGGCAATGACCTCTTCTTTAAAAAACAAAACTAGGCAGGAAGTGTGCTGGGCCTGAGTGGCAGGGACTAAGGGTGTAATTACAGGGTTTTGTTCAGCATTTTCATGTAATTAAATCCAAAGGAAAGCGAGCCTGGCCCAGGCTTCTTGGATGCAGAGTAGACAAGAGGGGTGTGTGTGTGTGTGTGTGTGTGTGTGTGTGTGTCTGTATGGGTGCCTGTGCCTGTGTGTTGGGTGGGGAGGAGAAGCAGGAGGTGAGAAGTGAATTTGCTTTTCAAGCTGAGAAGAAGCGGGTTTCTTGCCGTTATTAATATTTTTACATTTCTTTTCCAAAAGGTACCCAATTATTCACCTTTTATTCAGTGCCACTGCACTCTCCTTAGTGACATTTCCCAGCCATGCACAGCCTTCTCGGCACTGATTTCTCTTCAAGGTAGACTCTCCCCCTCCCCACTTTTTCATATTGCCGCTTTCTGCCTGGATGCCCACACAATAAACCCACTGCAAAACCCACAGCCAGCTCTCTTGCCTACAGTTTCAATACCAGCAGCGTCCGATGCAGCAAAATCATCCCTCCTTTTGTTTTGAACATCTCCTGTCTTTCCCTGTTCCGCTTTGCAATACTTCCTACCCCCACGGGCCCCACCCAGGCTTCCCAGCCACTGCCTCGGTTTCCCCCGGCAAGCCTTCTGTGTGCACACTGGCCCGTGGTCTGCAACGCCCAGAGCGCCCTCCCTTTGCCCCCTGCTCCCTGAGGCCTCGGTGTCCCTCCGACATTTCCTGAACGTTGTGAACTGGCAGCAAGAATGGGTTCACTGTCTGCTCACATTCTTAGGGGCAGGAAACCTGACCCACCCCAAAACCACCCGCTCCAAAGGAAGGACACTTGCATTTCCCAGGCGGGTGGTGAGAGTTAACTAGGCTGGCCTCCGCCTCCCCTCCTTTCCTCCACGCACCGCCCCCCCCCCCCCCCAGCCACCACACCCGGAGATTACCCCCCTCAATTTACGCCCCCTTCACCTACTCTTCCCAGGAACAGATTGTTTATCAGAACGGGCAGCCAAGAAACCTACTCCTGTTTCTGGCCTCTGCCAGAGATTAATCACACTTGGGAAAGGCACAAAACTTGACTGTGTTGGGGCAGGGAGGGGGGTAGTTAAAGAAAAGACCAATAATTTTGACATTTGACAAGCTGATCAAATTGGTGCTACCTTTCCCCTCCTTCGTTTTAGTAAATCAGTGCAGAGGCCTGAATTCCATTTCATTCCCACTCCCTCCACCCCCACCCTATATTCCCCCTCCTGCTCTAAGTCTTGGTGTTTGATGCTTTAATAGTACTGACTGGCTTTTAATTCTGATTAACATTCTCAGCTGGTGTGTGTGTGTGTGTGTGTGTGTGTGTGTGTGTGTGTGTGTGTGTTGGGGGCTGGAAAGACACATTCACAAACCTGACCGCCTGACAAATCCCCCCTTTTCATCCTTCTCTTTGAAATGACATCAAGATGGACTGAAGTGGGGGGGGGGGCGATGAGGAGAGGAGGCATGGAAAAAAGAGAGGGAGGTGGAAGCAATTTATGTGCTTTTCTAAGGCAGCTAGTAAAATTCCTAAGGGAGAACAAATGCCAAAATTGACTGTCTTGGTGTATTTTAGACCCAATCGTTGGGGTGAATCATGTCAGGGCTTTGCACTGGACCTGGAAGCCTGGGACAGGCACACAAAACATCCTGTGGCCTGGCGGTGCCCCTCTGAAGGAGGTAAGAGATAGGTATTTGCTCTTGCCAGATTCCTTTCCATCAGGATTTTTTTTCCTCTAATTCATTGCAAGATGGATTAAAATAAAAACTGGGGCTGATAAAAACCAAGGATAGAAAACGCCCCATAAAACATGGCCCCCAAAGGGAAGGTGCAAAACCCATTTGATCCAAGATATAGATATCTCCACCCTGGATCTTTCTTTTTTTTTTTTTTTTTCCCCCTTTGCTTTACAACTCTGCAGACATCAGGTTAGCAAAAGGTAATAAATAGTCCTTGCACAGCAGGGTCTGGACTAGTGAAAACAGTTTACTGAAATTAATGGGCCTCGCTTGAACCAAAACCTCCACTTTGGAATTAATGCCAGACATAGTTTTCCTGAACTCTATCCAACCGCCTAAGCGGCAGACAATTTTCGTTCTATTTGTACTGGAAAATAAAGCCTAGGCCCTTGATCTCAGTGTAGATTATAATTTTTTGAAAAAATTCAGCACAGTGAACACTATGCCAATTTCCAGTTTCTGCTAGTAGAAGTCCTTGTGCTGTGCTTGACGGTCAGAAGTTATCTGGTAAACTTTCCATTGAAAACCATCTCTGAACTCCCTCCCCACCGGTGGCCTCAGAGCTTTCACCATGACACCCGAGAGATTCAAGGAAAGCTCCAGAAACTGGCTCAGTTCTCAATAACAACCCTCTTCCCCAGGGCTCTTGGAAAGGCTGGATCTGAACAGCGCGGCCTGCATGACCTCCATTTTCCACCCTCAATGAAGCTCCAAAGCACCCAACGGAAACCTACCCCCACTA